CTGCCCAGAATGCTGATGCACCTGGAAGCAGTTGTTTGCATTTGACTTTAATCTGCTCTCGGGAAGATTTCCAGCGCGGCCCGGATCATCCGTTTCCAAAAGGCGACTCTCGGGGGACTGGGAGCTGCAGCTCTTACCCAGCGCGGCTTTCTGACCCGGCATTAGCCAGCCCTGCTTTGCTTCAGCTTTCCCTTCCAGAGGCAAAGGTGGTCCCTCAAATTCTAATTGTGACGTGTGACCAAAGACAGCGAGCTTATCCGGCCGATCAGAAGCGAGGCTTTCGGTCTGACACAAACTCCTTCCAGAAGGGGAACCAGGTCCGGTCAAACCTTTGACTGGAGCAGCCCGAGACGACGGCAGCGGATCCCTGCTCAGCCCAAGGGAAGCATCTGCATCTCCTTGCTGGCGCTGGCTCAGTCCCTCGCTCTCCCTTCCCACAGCGCGAGGGCAATCTTTGGTTTCTTGAGGTAGTTTTAGAGTAACTTTTTGCAGATGTGTCCCTCTGGGGCCAGTGGCAGAAGAGTCACTGTCCCTGGCAGCAGTGCCCACCGCACCCCCACCTGCCTCCTGAACCTGTCGATCGGGCAGCGCGGCTTTTTCAGCAGATGCGTGCCTGCTGGAGACAATCTTCCCTTCCGGGTGAGATCCTGGAAGAATCCCAAAACAAGTTTAGATTAGCTTCTATGAAAAAAACTTCTGGAGGCTTTATGCATTTACTTTTCAGGAGATCCTTTCTTTAAAAGAAAAAAATATTCTAGAGCACGACGCAAGTCAACGAGAGCACAGTTTGGGAGCAGCTTTGCAATTCGAGCTGCAGTTCACCCATCCTGTACTTCAAGGCAGGCACTGGGCTCTCGATTTTCTTCACTACTCTGGGGTTGTGACTGCTCCTTCCAGAGAGGGTGTGGAGCCTCCTTGGGACCTACTCCCTTCATCATCCTCGTAGCTCTCCGTTGGACTCTCCGAGTCCAACGGAGAGCTACGAGGATGATGAAGGGACTTGAACCAGAGAGGGTGTGGAGTCACTCTGTGATTCTGTGTGATTCACTACAACCAGCTGCTGCGTTAAGATATGACAAAAGCCATGAAAAAGCCAAAGGGCTCTGCCCAGAACAAAATTCTTGACTGAAACGGCCATCGCAGCTCTTGACGCCCGATTTACAAAACCACCGTAAGCGAGACATGAGGCTGCAGTTACATCACTACGTTCAGCCCACACGCTGTGCCCGACAGCAGCACGCACCGACACACGGTT